ACACTGCAGAGATCTTCTTCAAGACAGCACGATGGATGTATAGCAGGGTAGGAACAGCATTCGTTACTAAAACGACTTCTTTACTCCAAGAGGAGAGAGGGGGAGGTAAAGAGAACATTTAAATAGATCATTTTGAGTTTCTTACAGGAAGTTCCAAATGGCAGCAGCTTATAAATTGTCTTTAACAAGGAAACGCTAGCAACAGATATGAGAGCCAAATGTATTTTGCGTTTTCCTCTCTATGCATAAGCTTGAGTCACCTTGTTGCTTACAAATGAAAACCACAGAAACACAATCACTCCCGTGGATTCATCTCTCAGCATCTCATACTGTATCTAACACAGAAAGAGTGAGCTGGCAAATGGCGGCTAAATGAGTGAATGAATGAAAAGCAAGAAGCTGTGCTGTACACTTGGTTTCAGAATCACAGGCAATCAATTCTGACCTCTGAATCCAAGGAGAAGAGTCACTGGAAGAAAAACATTTTCAGATGAATGCTGCCTGCCCTAGGAGGCTAACAGTTTAGTTTACGTCTAAAATCCAAAAGACGGAACACAGGCAAGCAGTTCATGAAAAGGACCAGGCCTCTTGGTATTACAAGTCAACGTGAGAAATAGGCACGCTAATTTATCATCTGCTTCAATCACAGAAAGCGATGCGTCCTGTTAGCACAAAGCCTTAATGAAAGGGTATTACGATACCTGAGTTGTCTCCCCGAACTGGTGTGCTGAAGGGAAAAACAAACAAAAAAGGAACTTGTTTTGTTTCAGCCAGACCCGGTCTTGGGTACCAGGGAAACAAAGTTCTGAGTCGGGGGCGTGCTCCGGCCGCTGATCAGAATGCGAGTGGGGGTCCGCAGGACAGCAAGCGAGCATCAGGGCTGCACCCACACCCATTAGCCACATGATTAAATATACATCAAGCCTGTGGTATAATAAAGTAATTGTAATAGGGCATTGTCACAGGATCAATGTTTCCTGGTTTAAATACAAACATTAGCATTTATCTAGCAGCAGAAAACTATTATCCCATGGTACTGTTTTATTCAACTGACATCTTTTAATCAAAGCAATCCATATCGTGGCAGCGTTCCAAGGTATCATAATTGCAAATATTTATGGCAAGTTAGATAATAGCTGTGTTTCTGTTGTTCGCTTTTTCTTCCTTTTCCACAGGTCTGATGCCGACATTTTCTAATGAATTAACTCTGTGAAGAACAAAATCTGAAGCAATTATAGTAAGTGAAACAACCTCTCACCTGCCTCCCAGTTTCACTTTTAATTATGATACACAACTGCTCACGCGCCTGCGTGTCTTCTGCATTTCTCACACCCCCTCTAATGAAAACAAATGAAAACGAAGCCTTCTGTGCTAGTGGCGTCGAGCTAAGAATGCCCCTTGGTGGGGAGGTCTGAGTCCCCTGGGCACGGGGGTGGGTGGCCTCGTGCACCCCAGCGAACGTTCTCGGAGGCTGGGTCTCGTGTGTTGCGTGCAGCTGATGGGATCTGGATGCAGTGAGAGGGTTTGTGAGTCGTGCTGGAGCCCCCTTTTCAGAGCCTCCCGAGTCTGCCCCCGTAGACGCTCCCGACCCGAGTCTGCTGCTACTCTCTCCCTTCAATCATTTCCTGGAGAAATGCAACCTAATTGGGGAGAAAGGTCTGAGGCCAGCAGAGCGGTTGTTTTTAAACCTTGGCAGGCCACTGCTGTGAAGCCCGTTCTAACGACGCACCCTTGGCTCACATTTAATTTACAAGTTCCGTGAGGCCTCCATGGCGAGCCTTCTCATCCCACCTCGCCGAGACAGACTGGTAATCTGCCGCCTAAAGCCCCCGGACTCTCCCCAGGTGCGGCAGAGACCTGCAGGCAGTGGGAAAAGGGAACACGCACGATTCTTCCCTGGCGGAAGTGTGTTGTTCCAAAAAGAAAAAGCATCTGAGGGAGCGTCCTGATTCTAGCCACATTATCTTTAAAATAACAGCAAAGGTACGCAGGCAGCAAACACACACAGGTGTACGCTGATCAGAGCGGCTGAGATCAGTAGTTCACTGTCACCTTTGAGTGGTTTTTGCAGCTGGAACAGGGGCACAGTTTGTGACTCCGGCCCTGGCGGCAGCCTTCACAGGGACAGGTTTCATTCCAAATGAGAGGTTCTGAAAAGTTGCCCAATTTAACCTCCAGGAGGCTTCATTTCCTCCTGTGCAAAACACACCCCTCTTTCCTCTGCCGCAGTCATGATTAAGTTCATGAGTGAATGCAACGGAAATGCACAGGGGACAGCAGCAACAGCAACTTTCTCTAAAAGCCTCCTATCAGAGCAGCCCTGTCTGAGGAAGGCTTTTTTAAAAGGCCCCTCCCAAATGCAACCTGGCCAGGAAAACTGCAGGACCCCACTTCATGTGGGGGCCCCCGTGCGCCTGATCAGATCTGCATGCCGTGAACCACAGTGACCCAGATCATCAGGGGACTTTCTAAGTCCAGCTCCATTTCTGCTGAGCTTTGAAAGCGCCCACTTTCAGCCACAGCAAACACGACCCAGGCTTACTTGAGATGGGACCTCTCAGAGGTCACTTTCGATTCATTCCACAGCTTTACTTGGTTTTCTTCTCCTCCTCTAGCCAGGTGGGTTCAACAGGGAGGGGCAGGGGAGGCTGCTCTGGGACCCCGCACCCCAGCACACGCCTTTCCGCCAGCAGGGGCAGCAGCCTCTTCACCTGAGAGGGTCTCGGACGTTAATGTGATTCATGCTATTCCAGCGTTCAAGGTGACTTGGCAGCCCCAAGTCCCATCTCTCTTTTTTCTAAACCAAGAATTCCACAAACCAACCAAAACCAAAAACTTGTAAATGGGCCAGTTCTTTAGATAAGGAACTGAAAACGACAAATGGCATTGTATCTTGGCATGGATTCTGAGTTTACAAGTATAAAGATTTGTGTGTGCAAAAAATATAGGCAAACGGGAAGCTACTTACACATGGTACATACAACACACACACACACACACACACACACACACACACACACACACACGGCTTGTTTCCAAATTAATTTGAAAGGCTATTTAGCTCAGAGCGATCACGACATTGAGTTCTATCTGACTCAGCACAGCCTCCAAGTGCAGCACCGCTATCTTTCAATAGCAGTTCTCTTCCTGGGATTTGTTTGAAAGCGTTTAGGTTTCCACGAAATCGCTGGAGGTTCTTCGGTTTTCCCCCTTCTGTGTTATGTACGCATAAGCCGTCTCTCTAGGCATGCATACACTGTCCAGTGGTAAAAATCAATTTTGATTGTATCAGTATTTATTACTGCTGGTGCCAGCAGTTTAGGAAACTAGAGAGGGAAAACATGCAAACTAGGAGGAGGGAAAAAAAATTAAAGCCGGGTCCTCACACCTACAAATATAGCCTGCTGTCATTAAGACGTATCTTGTATCATGCTGAGGAAGCTTACATTATCAATTTAAAAATTCAATCAATAAAAATGTACGGGACTCATTGCTTACATCTCTTGGTATCTGCGAGCTCAGTGGCGGGTATTTCTAAAACAAGGGCCCCACTCTCAGAGGTGCGGGCATGAGGGTAGCACAGCCGCAGCTGCCCAGGCTCACTTCCGGTCTGGCGCCCTAAGCAGCTTGTCTCATCCGTCCTGTGCCCGGTTATTCATTACCTGACTCTCCCTCTCAGGACAGAACAGCCACGTGACAGGGCTGCACAACCTCCTGTCTTACTCTCCTTTTTTCCTCTTCAGTCCTTCCAAACCCCCGCCCCCCCAAACGTGCATGATTCTCCAGGTTCAAGAGCTTGGCTCTTCAAGTGGCCCCTGAACCTCAGCAGCCCTTGCGCCACACACTCTGCACGGCCCAGGATGGCTCAGAGTGGTTCGTCTTCCCGCCATCACCCCTCTTCCTGGGGAGTTCCCTTCTTACACTCAGTCCCACAAATAAACATGCTCACCAAGTCCTAACCTCTAAGAGGGACAGATTGTACAGGATGTGTGGGGAGAAAGAGACAGCTTAGGATTTAGATTTTTTATTTTGAGTTACACACAAAATGCCCACATCCTCTGAGAAAGTGCACATAGCAGAGGTTCCCCAAGCACTCTTCTGACGGACTGTCACCGCGGGGCAGGCACCAGCACCCTGCACCCTGCAGACTCAGGCTTATACCACCGGCTGGTAGGCGGCTTTCTGGGGACACACAGCCACGTCCTGTCAGCTTGCGGCCCGCCTAATCACGGTCCTCTCAAGGCCAAGGTATAGGGAGCTGCATAAAGATTCACTGACTGCAGTTCCTGCGCTGGGAGAATGGTAGCCCATGACAGAAATCTGATGGCAGAAGACACGTGCCTCACAGCTCAGTGTCTCACTCCCTTTCTTAAGTACCTGGATCTACCTGGAAAAAATACTGGAGACAAATTTACAACTGGGCAGCCTCCCCGTCTGCACGCTCTGAGCAACCTGAGCAGTAGTAGGTGTGTGGTGAGAACTCAGTCTGTTCGATATTTATGCCAAGTAACCAGACGCAGACATCTCCCAAAGACAGGAAGTCCCTCATCCCACCTGGAGGTGGAAGTCTCCAGGTCCTGCCACATCGCCAGAGCCAGCAGCTCAGGCCAGGCTGCCAGTCAGGCTCCGGGCAACATGAGGGTGTACGGCTTCTAAGCATGGCCGTCCGTGTGGTAAATCTGTCTCTTGCCCCACGCACACTGCAGCCGTGCTCAGCATGCCTCACTAGTCCTTTCTGCACGGATCCCGGACCCAGGCGGAAGCTTTCCTGTCATGGGAGGGCAACGGTGACCAGCGGCTTAAGATGTTCAGCAGCTTTACTTACTCTCAGTTGGAAGCCGCCCCCCACCCCCAAATGTATGTGTTATTTAAATAAACATATATATTTTCTCACTGATAGGGCACATTTTAAAATCAACCTTCCAATGACAAAATAATAATGACAATGATAAAAATAACAATTCCCCCATTTAGCAAATGTGACAAAATGACAAAAGACCTCTTAATTTGGGGGCTTTATTTTAATCTTTTCCTTTTTAAGATGCTACAATAGTCAAACATAATTGGATTGGCCTTTTACATCATAAAATTAATTCACAGTCAAACTCTCAATTACGAGTGGACGGATTATCTGAGGAGTCTCTCGATGCCCTCCCCACCCCCACCCGGCTGGTTCCCCCTCGACCACTCTGCCACCTGACTCACTCGCCCTGACCCCAAGCTAGGGCCACATCGGAAAGGTCAGGACCAGACTCGGGCCGTATGTGCTGGAAGTTGGGGGGCGGGCAGTGAAGAAACAACACAAAGGGTAATGCAGAGTTGACTGTCGCTACTAAAAATGTCCCTCCCTATGGTAGCTGTTATTTATTTACACAGAAAATGCTTCCTGGCAGCTGTTCTCCAACATTCCAATAAACCACACCTCCATCTGTATGCAGAGCCCAGAGCCTCCGGACAGAGGAGCCCGCGGCCCCCCAGCAGCAATGCCAGCCTCACCCACCGGCCTCAGGTAGCACAGGGGATTTTTAGGCCACAGCATTAATTATAATCTCGTGACAGTAAGAAAACATGAGATGAAATACATTAAATAAGTTAAATATGCATTAAACATCTCTGAATAACAGTTCAGCCTCACTACATGAGCCAATAGTAATTTAGCTTGGTCCCTTAAAGAGAACAAAGCATGACTTTTATTTCCAAAGTGTCGGGCCAGTCAGTCAATATCGCCTCCCACTCTTGACAAGCACATCAGATGCTGCCACAGCCCAGTTCTTTCCTGCTCCGGACTCCGTCCATCAGTGCCTGGGAACTGATGGCCTGGGCAGAGCGTGGAGAGCAGCCTGGGAGTGAGTGGGCCGCGTGGGGTTACTACGTGGAGGTGCCGGCACTCCCCGGCACGCTGGGCTCCCGCTCCAAGGGCAGCGCCAACAGGCAAGGAAGTGTCGTGTGTTAGGAGAGGTGATCCAGCAACATGTACCGAGACTACGAATGTTTACAATGACATTTACAACATGCCATTATCACTTAATCATGGTTCCCCTTGTCATTAATAGAGATCATTCTTCTCCCCCAATCATTTACTACTCATTTGTAACTTTCTAAGAGATCGTTATATTAGGTTATATTCGTGTGTGCGCACGCACTCGCACGCGCAGGGAGGGTAATTTAAAGGCAAGACCTGTGAGATGTCATCATACATTAATTTCTTTGTGTACACGGTTATGATAAATTTAAATCCCACGACATGGCGGGCGTCACCCGGCCGACCGGCCACCGTCTGCGCGGCCTCTACAAGGCGATCTTCCCTATGACCACCCCGACGATGAAGAACAGGACCACCAGCGCCAGGAGCCGGCTGCTCAGGCCCTCCTCCTTGCCGGCCACGGCCAGCGCAGGGCCAGGGCTGTTGCTCTGCGCCGTCTTCCTCATCCGAAGTCCATCTTCTTCCTGCGGGAACAAATGCACGTTTCAGAGCCGATCCCAGGCACCACAGCAGTGTCACTTACAGCTCAGCAGGGGGGCTTCACCCCTGACTTCAGATCCCGTGATATGGTCCCAGCTCCTCATGTGGAAGCCCATTAATGAGGGTACTGGTTTGGAGCCACTAAGAAATGCTGCCAGAAGCGCCTCTTCTCTCCATCCACTCTCCGCGAAGCTGCTCGTCGCCTTTCCGCACCACAATCCTAAGCAGGGCGTTCCTTGGTTCTCATGGCTCAGAAAAGGCTCCTGGAGGGTCCAGCCTGGGCCCGCCCACCTTGCTGGCCAAGCCTCCCAGCTGCTCCTCTTCTCCGCCATCCAACCCGACCCCTGTCCTTCCTCCCTCCACTGAACAGGCTTCCCAAATCGAGTCATCCATCTCTGAAGTGACAGGCATCTCCCAAGGCAGGAATATAAAAATCACAAGAAACTGCAAAGCGGGGGCCTGGAAGCTTTCGAATGTAGAGCGCTGTACATAGGTGGTGTTCGATGAGCTACCTGTAGACTACTGGGTAATGTTCAAGGAACATGATATTTGGAATATTAAAATATGACTTGACTTGATACATGCATCTCAAAGATTTTCTACTTATTGCATGGATTTCCCACCAAAGAAGCGATGTTTCTTTTTCATATGTGAATGACATATATGTTTTGCCCCCAACGACACAGATGTGTAAGGAACGGGAAGTTTTTCTTCCTTCACTGGCCCCGAGGCCAGTCTCCATTCCTAAGCAGGGCCCGCAGCAAGGCCTTTCTGCTCTGGCCCGGATGCACGGAGCAGCTGGGTCCCCGGCCGACACCCATGCCTTCACCCCTAAACCCCACACCCCCGCTGCACTTTCTTTTCTTTTCCTTCATCTCCTGCACACCCACCAAGTGCCTAGCAGGTCCTGGAGACCACAGGCAGCCAGCCCACCGAGCTGGCGCTCCACGGCCCTTGTGACCACCTCTGTGGGACCTCCCGTCACACCGGCTGTCGGTCTATGTCAGTGTTTGCGTCTGTCTCCCTGGTACCGGGAGCTCCTCGTGGGCAGGGCTGCTCGTGTCTGTGCCCACAGTGCTGGGTACATGGTAGGGCCATGAGTAATTTGTTGGCCAAATAAAAGAATGAAACAACGTAAAACAAGAAATCAGTGTTTGGCAGGATAAAGAATCTTCTAGTGTCAAGATTGGTCTGATAACATTTTAAAGCTATTCTGCTCATGGGGCATGGCCAATATCGCTGCACAGTGATAAATGACTAGTGTTATTCGATTAACTTAAAAAAAATGGGCACAGCAAAATACAGCATTTATTTTATTGGGTTTATATAAAAGATATTTCTACCTATTTATCACTTTAAACGGCACAGAACTCGATTTCTGAAGAGAAATACACTCAAGAAGAAGCTTTAGGCGTATCTCTGATTTTTAGCCCCAAAGTAATAAGTGTCAGCTTCATAATTTACACTAAAAGAAGTTACTGAATGAGGCAAATCAGAACTACTGTACTGAAAGGAGGTGCCACTCCCAGTCACTGTCAGTTCTCCTATGCCGACCACACTGTCAGAACAAAGAGACGCGCAAGTCACCGGAAATGAATCTGTTGCGTGTACCTGGCGCTACGGTAGTTAAGGAGTGAAAACCTATTACATGGTTGGGTGGCACCATCAAGATGAAGAGAACACATCAGCCTCAAAGTTTCAGCTGCAACAAAAGTTCCTAAGATCAGATGATCAGAAATGTCTCTTCAATGCCGTGTCTGAAAGCTGGAAGGGGCCGTAGAGGTGCTCTGCTAATGGAGGTACAGGAGATGCTGTGGCTAACACAGATTCAGAGCTAGGTCAAGTCTGAGTAGTCGTTTCCATGACACCACAGGCCTCCAAGGCCAAAAGAGGTGCGCCCTGCCTCCCTTCATCCCCCAGTGCAAACTGACCCTCCAACACCAACAGCCGCCTCGTCCACAAGCTGGACACAGGCTTCTTCTGTAATCTGCACCTTTCTATTCTGACAACTTCCCATCTCCAACCTCATTACCATGTTCACAGTCTGATGAGAGCGTTTTGCCCAGACCTACTTAGAATTTCCAAAAATCAGAATTATATCTGTTAAAATAGAGTCCAGGTCGGCATTTGTCTTCTTAAAAAAAAAGATTCTCATCCAGTGGGAATAAAAAATGTGAATTCCAGATAACCACTGCTGCTTTACTTTTAGTCTCAAAACTTATTTTCAATTTACACTAATGGAGGATGAGTTGGTTTTTTTTTTCTCCCCACAAAGGGGCTGCTCCAGGGATACAGAGTCTTGATTGGGGTGGTGGTGGGGGGGGGAGGAACGGTGTTGGGTGTTTCAAGGGCCCTTTTGAGAACCTGATGACAACTGGAATTTCTCCCTGGGAGAAAAATGTGCAAATACAAAACAACTCTACAAATTCAGGGGTTCATCCATTTCCCCGGGCAAGATCCCAGTAAAAAAAGCCCTATTTTCTGTAGATTATCAGGAAATAAAACGCTCTTACCTTGAACTGCTTGTTCTCCTCCCGTAGCCTCTGGAGCTCACCCTGCAGCCTCTTACATTCTTCCATCACCTTCTTCACTTCAGTGTCATCCAAAGAAGAGCTCAGAGATTTAGACACCGTTGGTGTTTCTGTCTTTGATGCAGTTGTGGATATAATTTTATTTATTTCTACATCATGCTGTTCAGAAATAAATGAAAGCCCAAGTGTCACCAAGTATGTAATAAAGGACTTTTTAAATGCAAAGTAAAGTAGTTCTCAGCAAACACCACACATGGTAGCGTTTCATCCACACTGTAATATGTCACATTTATTTTAAAAATGGATCACTTTATCTAGTATCTTAATAATCTAAAGCAACTGGGCCCCAGAAATTATGGATAAGGGCAAATAATGAAGTTTGGCTGAGACTGATACTTCAAAGAAAAAGGGCTGTGCATATTGTGCTATCAAATTCCTGCCGTGCAAAAATTAGCATACTGCAATTGTGCAAGCTCGGGAATTATTAACCACAAATTCTGTCACCACCAAGATGTGAACATCCCCAGGACTGGCTAGGCGGGGGTGGGGAGCCAGGGAGGACTCAGAGGGCGATTTATTTCACCAACTTAGAATTTGGAAGCTGGGATGAAGGTGAGACAAACTCAGTGTCTGCAAAATTTCAGGCCGGGGAAGCCCC